GGGCTCTGCTCGCAGCCCTTTGGCTGGAGCAAAATCCCAGCCAGAAGTAAATCTTCCAAGAGGGTTTAATTCTCCTAAAACCTTTTTTCTGCAGCCTCTCGCAGTCCCCAGTGCCCAAGCAAGCGGCTACTGTAGAGGATGAAACATGTCGCTCTGTCCCGGGGGCCGGGACCCAGCCTGCAGGCAGGGCAAGGGGTGGGATTTAAGTCACGAGACCTGGGAAGATATTGCCCCCTCCATATGCAAATGCTGACTGGTAGAGCACCCTCCTTGTGCAGGCATCCTGCCTTGGAGGGGTGTGTGCAGTGGTAGGCCATCAGATAGGGGCCGGGTGAGTGACTCGCACTCCCCGTGGCCACGGAAATCTCAAAAACGTGGCTGTGCAAGGCAGTGCCGTGGCAACACGACCCTGGCGGCCTGCCCTTAGAAAAAGCACCAGCCCTCCCCATGTCTAGCAGCTGCTGCTGCCACAGCCTGCCTCCTCCCACCCGGTCGCAGTTGGGAGCTATTCTTCACTCGCTCCTAACTTCATTAACTGCGGCTCTTCCCGTCTAAGGAGGCAGCTGGCAGGGCCAGGATGAATTATGGCTGTCGCGATATTGCACAAAGGCCTCTGACGTGCAAGGGACCGGTCAGGTAGGTACACAGGCTCCGTGTCTGACTCAACGGGCGAGTCGCTGGGGAAACCGCGGCCCGAAGCCCCCCGCGAGCCTGCAAGAGAAGGTGCATTTAACAAGGTGTCATCCTAGATTGGCCCAAAGCCCAGGTCGTTCCTGACCTGTAGTCCCTTTCCAATGCACCCATTTTCCCTCCGTCTCTGCGTAGCATGGGCTGCCCCTCAGACCACTGCTGCTGTCCCCCCTTCTTTCTTTCTGCTCCTTGCCTCCTGCTGGAAAGGAGAAGAGGGGAGGCCCACATTACAGCAGCCATCGCCGTTTCACTCCTGAGACCCCCAGCCCTGGGCGCCGTTTCACTGCCTTTTTTTTTTCTCTCCCTTTTCTGTGCTCCAAACAGGCAGCAGATCCCAGAGAAAAGCCAGAGGAAGAAGAAAAAAACCAAATGGCGAGGAGACAGAGCGACAGGCTCCCACAGAGCGCAGTGTGCCATTTTGTGATGGGGGGAAGGGGGCTCTGGGTGTCCCCCGCGCACCCCGAGATGAACTAAAAAGCACTAGCGAAGACGCGCTGTCCTGCCTAACTGCACCGTACTGCTTCTAACAGAGGAACTTGACGGGGGGGGATCGGACTTGCAGCTTGAACGGCAGCCGGACCGCTCGGGCCTGGCCTGGGTTGCAAGCAGCACCGAGTGCATTGCAAGCACGAGGAGGAGGAGGGGGCAGCAAGGACCTGGACTCGCAAACATCCACAACCCCCAGCTCCTTCCAGAGGCCTCCGTGATGTTTATTTAAATAGGGGGAAAAAAAAAAAAAAGTGTTGGTTTTATCTGCAAACGTTTCTCCATGTGACCCATTTCGACACGGCCGTGAAAGCCCCCCTGTTAGGTACAGTCAGTTGTGTGTGTATGTGTGGGAGGGGAGGGAAGGGAAGTGGGGGTTTGTTTGCTCAGTAAGCGCTGGGCTGGAAAGAAACACCGCCGGGGTTAGTTTCTTTTGCACTGAACTCTCTCCATGGTGGTGCCACAACACAACTTCATAGGAAAGTGCAGAGATTTGGAGCAGGAAAATGAATTCCAGCTGCTCTCGGCACTCCAGACATTGTGTCAGACCCTGGAGAGCAGCCAGCTCGCCGACCAGAAACTCCAGCTGAGACAAGACGGTTTGGGGGTGATTTTTTTACCCTGCGCCGGGCGGTTTTGTTTCTCTGTTTTGTATTTTGGGGGCATGTCGGACTCACAAAGACGTTTTGTTAAGCTGGAAGTATTTAAATTAAAGTCATTTACAAATGGAAAGAAACGGGATGGGTTTTTGTGCACGCTTTGGGGTGGTGGTGGTTGGTTTTTTTCCCCAGGACCGAGCCGTATTGATTTATTATTTAGGCAAGGGGATGTTTAGGTGCTGGATTTGCTTCCTCGAGCACTTATAACGTGGGGCCTGCATTGCTAGTACTCCTTGCAGTTCCCTTCCCGTTCCCTTCAAAAGCAATAAGCAGGGCAGGAAGCGTAGTCGGTTAGCTTCTCCTCGCCCCCAAGACCAAGCCATGTTGATTTATTATTTAGGCAAGGGGATGTTTAGGTGCTGGATTTGCTTCCTCAAGCACTTCTAATGTGGGGCCTCGCTTCCAAAAAAGCCGATAATTGAGAGTTTTTCCTCCATTTGCCTTCACCTCCCCCTTTGGCACTGCCCGAGCCAAGTCCTGCTGACACGGGACACCAACGGGAGTGTTGTCGTTAACTCCAGTGCCACGAACTCAACTTTTGTGACTGGAGCACGCTGCCGCTGCTGTGTTGCTGACAGCAGAGTTTCTGGTTTCATGTCTTGTAGCTGCGTGCGAGGCTTTCAAGTGGCAGTTTTGATTAAAAGTGGTGATTTTGGAGAATCTTTGGGCGAACGGTTGCCTGCAAACTCAGCACGGGACGCCGTGGCCCGGGGGGCTACTTGCTAGCCCGCGTAGCGAAAGAACGTGTGTGCAGGAAGACCAGCTGCCTTCTAGCATCACCCTGCATCTGTGTCAACCCCATTTGGGACAGGATGCCTTGTCGAGGTGAGCGAGGAATTAAATAGTCATTCAGGATGCTACTTCTGCCACTGTCTTCCAGAGGGCTGAGACCGCCGTCTTCCTGAACCAGGGCCACCAGCCACTTCCACTGTCCGCCAAGTTGGGTTGGATTTGGTTCTGTTCACATAGTCATGCTTTATTAGTGCGATCAGACATGAAAGTGTTGTCGAAGTGTGAAAAGGCAGCACCCCGAGACTGTTAAAACAGGAGATACTGGGATGAGACATCAAGGGGCCTCCGCAAGCCAGTCCAGCATCTGTTAGTCATTACAGCCCATTTTATGATTCAGGGACATCTTCACACAGTGCTTCTTGCTATACGGGAGGTGTTCGGGTTTTTTTTCCCCAAAGGTGAGTAAAATGAATGACTTTACCATCGAGCAGCCTGGATGAAAGCATGCAAGTAGACTGCATATTTCGCCTAATAAATGTCTGCAGTCATTTGGCCATGAGGAATAGTGTGACGCTACTTCAACCAACTCCTGTCATTTCTCCTGGGATTGTTGGTTTTTCTCCATTGGTTTTTAATGGAAAGTTTATATTTCTGAAAATGTGGGGGCATATTTCCCATAAGCCCTCATATTTTAGGCAGTGGATTGAAAAGGGCCAAATGGGTCTATTCCAGCGGAGTTATTCCAGTTTTACAGCAACAGAGAAACTAGGCCAAAAGGATCTCTCTATTGAAGCACCGGGCTCTTTTATATTTGCTGCTGAACTGATGAATAAGAAGCCTGAGGGGGAAATCCTGACCTTGCTGAAATCAGGAGTTTTGCCGTGGTCTTCAGTGGGGCCAGAATTTCCCCCTACACATTTCTACCTTGCTTGTCATCCTGATAACCCAGCGAACAGTTATTCGTTCTCAACCTACCCAGTCTGCAAAGTGCCCTCGAACAGCGGGCGTTGACTCTGTCATTGCTTCAAACCTAGCTAGAAATCCTTCCCCTTCTGATTACTAGCTAGGTTTTATTTTAAAATGTATTACCGTAAGACCTTTTCTGCAAAACCAGAGTGTTTCCAGAAAATGCCTTTGTTTGAAATAATCCAGTTTGCATAACACAAACCCGATTCAGATTTTTGTCCCTACCGCTGGGAATATAAGTGTAAAAAGAGGATCTGTGTGTCAAGAGTCTCTTCTGGCCCCACTGTTCGTCATACATGTGAAATCAGAACCCACTGATTTCTTTCTTTCTTTTGTCTTGGTGGGACATCGAAATAATTTCTTCAGCAATCTATTGATAATGCAAAGACTGTTTGGGGCCAGATAGGAAGGAAGAGAGAAATACCAAATGTAAGTATAACAAGTAAGGAAACATAAAAGCATAAACCAAGTCAATCGAATTGTTTGTAACTAAGCATGAAAGCACTGAAAAAACACTTCCCAGTACTGAATGCTGTATAACTAATTAGACGGGTATAGAAAAGACTGGGTTGTACAAAATAGCGGCAATGAGATACAGTTTCTGTTCCCTCTTAGTTCACCACTTCAGATGCCCGCCAGGTCTGCAGTCACAATGGGTCAAAGTGCTATATCCCCAAATATTATCTTATCACCTATAGAGCTGGCCCCATGGCCTGTAAAACATAATCCTCTTTACTGTCGGTGGTAGCAAAATCCCCTGAAATTGTAGCAGGACATACCATCTCTCTGCAGCACCCGATGACAGAAAAGTGGACGCACAATGTGTGTCTATTTGATGATCATCTAAAGAAGCTGCCATTACTCTGACTGAGACAACAGTTTCATAGTTTCTAGGCTCGGAAGGGGCCTAAGGAGATCATCTAGTCCGACCCCCTGCTGTGGCAGGAAAGAGTACTGGGATCAAACGACCCCAGCAAGGTGTTCATCTAACCTCTTCTTAAAAACCCCCAGGGTAGGGGCCAGCACCACCTCGCTTGGAAGTTGGTTCCAGCTCCTAGC